GTGTTTAAATCCTAAACATTAGGCCTCCTTTTATAGGGTGAAATTCTCATTCAAAATTGTCATTCACCGATGTGACACTTTTGACAATTTCAACAGATACGTTGGTATTGCCGTCATATCTATCATTGTGGTGCCAATTATCTTCCACTCACTGAAATGGTATCACATTCTGGTTGCCTATGTAATTGCTCCAGTTTTGGCCTTCTGCAATTCTTATGGAAGTGGCCTCACAGATTGGTCTTTGGCCTCAAATTACGGAAAAATTGCAATCCTTACATTTAGTTATTGGGTTGGTTTGCAAAATGGTGGAGTGATTGCTGGCCTTGCTTCATGTGGATTGGTGATGAGCATACTCGACACAGCTGCTGGCTTGATGGGAGATTTCAAGACTGGTTACTTAACGCTAACATCGCCGCGTTCCATGTTCTTTAGCCAAGTCATTGGAACTGCCATGGGCTGTGTGATAACACCACTAGTTTTCTGGATTTTCCACAGTGCCTATAAATTGGGTGATCCAGAAGGTTCATACCCTGCACCGTATGCATTGATGTATTTGGTTCTTTGTGGCTGCGATTGTGATCAACTTACTGACTCAGCTGCTGAAAAAATTCGAGACCAAGTATAGGATTTATCGGTTCGTGCCGAGTCCAATGTGCATGGCCATACCATTTTATCTTGGAGGGTACTTTGCCATTGACATGTGTATAGGGTCATTGATTCTATTCATTTGGGAAATGGTGAACAAGCAGCAAGCTAAAGATTTTGGACCTGCAGTGGCTTCTGGTCTAATATGTGGTGAATCCTTGTGGGGAATTCCAGCATCTGTTCTTGCCCTAGCTGGTGTCAAAGCTCCCTTTTGCATGAAAGTACATCACTGATTTTAGTCCCACTTTCCTCCTATTCCTGATCATAAAATCCTTGTACAAATTAATTTTTTATTTTTATTTTTTATCTCCCTTTATCTAAGTTTTTAGTTTTTTGGTTATTTTAGTCTTGTTAGCGTAACATGACATGTTTTTAAGTTGTCTATTTTATTGTAGTAGTAGAACTAATACAAGTTGTGTTTATGTTCTTGACGTATTTTGCGTGTTTCAAATTTCGTTTGTACCAGCTACTAATGGATTATGATTTTAGTTAGTAACGTCAATATATTGTGTAGTTTGTTTCTTCTTTTAATTAAGATGTTCATATAACGTCAATGTATTGTGTAGTTTGTTTCTTCTTTTAATTAAGATGTTCATATATCCTGCTAAAAAAAAAAAAAAAAAAAAAAGTTAA